ATAGCAAACAACACTCTAATCCTATTCCCTCAAGCCAAAGTTAGAACAAACACTTACCTCGGTCCAAAGAATAATAATCAACCCTCAAATACCGCCTTTCCTTTTATAATACGACTCCGAAACAACGATATCTAGGCATAATTAATTCAATAATATCAATAAAGACTCGATAACAAAATCTCATAACTTAGATATGAAGTTCCTAGCATTCTTCCAAAAATACCAAAATTCGACCCCGGGCCCACATGGTCCAAACATGAGGCTCGGACTAAAACCCGATTACCTATAACCCCACGAGTTCAAATATACAATTTATTTTAAGATCCGACCCCAAATTGAGGTTGAATCACTCAAAATTCTAAAAAAAATACCTAACTCTACCCAAAACCCCTAATTTCTACTTTGATTTCATGATTTAGGTCTAGGATTTCAGTAATTAATGAAGAAGAGTGAAGGAAATAGGTGGGAAATTACTTACCCACAAATCTTTGATGAAGAAGAGCTTCAAAAATCGCCCCTAGAGCTTGGAGAAGACAAGTTTTTTGAAAAATGGTAGAACTCTCGTAATGGGTATGTTTTGGACTTTTAAAATAACTGGGCGGAATTTCCCTATGCGATCGCGGGAAAGGGAATGCGATCGCATAGGGTAAGGTCTGGTCACTGCGATCGCGGAAATAACGAGTGCGATAGCATAGAGGGTCAAAGTGGGGCTGGCCTTTTGTGAATTGCGATCGCAGAAGGGAGTGTGCGATCGCATAGAACGAGTTTGCAGAGGTACGCGATCGCATGGCCTATAACGCGATCGCATAGAACAAAACTGGGCAACTCCAAAATAACTCTACGCGATCGCAAATATACATATGCGATCGCATAGAAGAAAATGACTGGGTACTGACTGCAGAAATTCTGCAACACTTCCTAAGGCCAAAAACACCCCGAACCGCCTCCGAATCACTCCCGAGCCCTCGGTGCTCCTAACCAAACACACTCGCTAACTCAATAACATCCTACAAACTTACTCGAGCGATCAAATTGCCAAAATAACATCAAAATCAATGAATCAAGCCTCAAAATCATCATTTTTTATCAAACTTCATAAACTTTCAAATTTAGGAATTCAAGTCCGAATCACGTCAAACGACGTCCGATTTCGACCACCTTTCACAGAAAGCGCTTAAACCACATATAAGACTTGTACCGGGTGCCGGAACCAAAATACGGGCCTGATACCAATGCTTTCTGATTCATTTTCATTTCAAATTTCCAAATAAATTTCAGAAAAACAATTTCTTTTAAAAATTTATTTCTCGGGCTCGGGACCTCGGATTTCGATTCTGGGCATACGCTCGAGTCCCATATTTTTTTACAGACCCTCCGGGACCGTCAAATCATGGGTCAGGGTTCGTTTACCCAAAATATTGACCAAAGTCAACTTTAACCATTTTAAAGCCAAAATTTATCAAATTTCACATAATTTAACACATAAGCTTTTTCGGCTACGCGTACGGACTGCGCACGTAAATCGAGACAACTAAAGGTAAGGTTTTCAAGGACTCGAAAGCACAGAAAAAGGGAGAAAACCGGTGATGACCCTTTGGGTCGTCACACAAGGAATGGTAAAATGGTTCACATTAGGGAGAAGTAGTCCTTCTGTTTCTCATTTATTTTTTGCAGGCGACTCATTTATCTTTTGTAGAGCTGATATGAATAGTGTTGCTACGATTAATAAAATTTTGGACATATATGCAAGATGCTCAAGACAGATAATTAATTTTGAAAAATCTACAATCCGTTTTAGTAAGAATACTATGGAGGAGGGAAAAATTACAATATGTTCTTCGTTGAATAATATATGAATATGTGAAAGGGTGATGTATTTAGGGTTGCCTGCTATTGTGGGAAGATCTAAAAAAGAAATGTTGGCTTTCATAAAGGATAAAATTTTATCTAAAATAAAGAGTTGGAAAGGAAAGATTTTAAGTCAAGCAGGGGAGGAGGTTTTATTAAAGTTTGTTTTAGCTGCTATTCCCTCATATGTTATGTCTTGTTTTCAGATACCTGATGGGCTATGTAAGGAAATCACTAGTTTATTTTTAAACTTCTGGTGAGGTACAAATGATGATAAGAGAAAGATGCATTTTGAAAAGTGGGAAAACCTATGTGAACCAAAATTTAAGGGGGGTTAGGCTTTCGGGATTTAAAGGCTTTTAATATGACACTTTTAGCCAAACTAGCATGGCGAATTCTGACTGAATCGGATTTGTTAGTTTCTCAAGTCCTTAAAGGTAAACATTTTCCTAAGGAATCTTTCTTACAACACCGACCAATAGATCTACATCTTGGGTATGTAAAAGTATTTTATGGGGGCGAGATCTATTAAGTAGAGTTGTTAGATGGAATATTTCAAATGGTAAATTTGTAATAGTATGGAGAGATCCATGGCTGCCACGAGATAGTTCCTTTTACCCCTTAAGTACTGCTACAAATCTGAAAGTATCAGAACTTATTGATGACAGTACTAACACATGGAATATTCAGATTTTAAATACTTTATTTACCGAAGATGATGTCGAATCTATTTTAACTATTTCAGTTTCTTCCGTGGAGGGCAATGATCGGCTGATTTGGTATTTTACCAATTCAGGTAAACATGAAGTGATTATTATCTAGCGAAATTACTCCTCGCAAATGATAGAAATTTGGGTAATCGTGCGGAAAGTAGTTCTCATGTGTTCCCGAAATTCTTTTGGAACTATTTATGGTATTTAAATATTAAAAACAAGCTCAAACATTTCTTAAGGAAGTGTGTATTAAATACATTGTCTGTTAAGAATATTATTACAGAAAGAATTCACTCTATGGATGACATGTGTCCTATTTGTGGGATGGAACCTGAAACTTTAGAGCACATGTTCTTTAAATGTCCTAGATCAATTAATGTGTGGAAAATGAGTCCAATTCGTTAGCCAAATTTGCATTTGATCTTTGATTTTGCTACACGGTGGTATAAATTAGTGTTAAACACAAAAAGATTCTCGAAAATTAATAAGCAGTGTCTATTTTATGGATGATGTGGAAGGTTAGGAATGATTATATTTTTAATTCGGTGATATGGAGTGAAAATGATATTTTATCTAAAGCACTATTTGATTTTAATGAATTTACGGTTGCGAAGGAACATGTTAACACTAAGAGAGATGCTTCTACTAACACACCATTACTACCTCTTTCTTCGGAAAAAGTGTTGCTTTATGTAGATGCAGGTTTGGATCTAAAGACTCGCAAAACGAATATTGGAATGGTAGCCTTAAAGGCTAATAGTGACGTGCTTTATGCATATGGTTGTTCAATTCATTTTATTGGAAAAACTATAATAGCTGAAGTATTGGCAATAAGGAAAGCAATTCAACTGGCGATGAAGTATGGATGGAAAAATATACATATCTTGTATGATTCCTTAACAATGGTTTAAATGCTTAATGGAAGCAGAAGTCATTTGTGGGAGGTTAATACTGTTTGCGAAGATATTTGGACACTTCAACATCATCTGATTGATGTATCTTTTAAGTATCTAAGTAGAGAGTTTAATACTTGTAGCCATAAATTAGTTAAATTTTCTTTCTCACTACTTAGTGAAGTCTCTTAGTTTGACAATTTTCCTGTTTGGATTGTCAACGAGACTTCATCTGGTTTTGTATCATTGACTGTCGGGTTTGATTAATACATACTTTATTTCCCCGAAAAAAAAACAAACAGATGCAACACCCAAAAGGGGAAAAAAACCACTAGGTCGAATATAAAAAATCTCTAAACCAAAACTCCTTGGTTGAGCTTTTGCTCACACTCTTTTAACGATTGTACGAGTTTATTTTATTGCTACAGTTTATTGTTGGATTTAAATTATATACAATAATTTAAAAGAATTACTATCATTTAATTTACGTATGAAACATATTAAATATTATTTTATTAGATTATTAATTCACTAAAAAAAGGATTATACTTAGTTTTAAGTAACTTAATTTTGTCATTTCTTATTTGATTAATGCATATAATTTATAATCCTTATCATATTGTGTTCAAAGTGTCAAATTATATTGAAAAGAAAATTTTACTTCCTTTTTTCAATTTAGATGACACACTTTCTTTATTAGTCTGTTCCAAAAAGGATAATATGTTTATATAATTGGAAATAATTCAATTTTAAAATTTTCATTTTACCCATTTTTTCTTAATGAGAAGCTTATACAACCACACAAATATTATAGCCCTTTTAAATTTTTACACCTTAAACTTTTAAGACTACAAGTTTTTCTTTTCTCTTACAACTTGTTTGGATGGTTGTTACTCATTGTATTGTACTGTATTGTTACTTTAAATACGATGTTTGTTTTGATTGTTACTTAAATTTTATTGTATCATACCGTTAAATCTATCGTTACATAACGATGAAATATGTCACTTTATGTAATGACCGATTTAGTGTGGACGCGTAGTTATCTTATTTTTTTCTCTCAATCTATCGTTATCATTAACCTACCTTTTATATAATATTTTATTCTGTATCATAATTTTTTTTCATAATATTGCAAGATTATTTTTTATATTGCTAGTGTGTGATATTATGAAACGATGGTAAATGACATAATCTATTCAAATATTATATTTATCAAATAATACAGTACAATATAATACAATACGATACAATACATTATTAAACGATACTTAACAATCATCCAAACAAGCTGTTACGAGTGAAACTACCTCATCTACAAGAAAGAGATGGAGTACCAAGAAAATTAACCTATTGACATGGTTTGACTGATTTTGTTTAGGCCCTATCGGAGGAGTAGGACCAGTAAAATTTCAAAATCCAACATAGAGGGAAAAGACACAGATTCCCTTCCTGCAATTGCTTACTTGTTCCTCATGCACTCTTACTTCACATGCATTCCAACACGTTGCACCCTCTCTTCCCCTTTAAAACATCTTCCCTTCTCTTGAAAAAACCATCCTTCACTTTCACCGTCATTTTAACACTTAGAAAAAAAATCACTACTTACAAAATATGGGTGACCGTCACGGACATGTCCAGATTCAAACTCACCAATACCCACACCAAATTCAAGTGCACCCACACCGTACAACTCATGAAGCTGGTGGTATGATCAAAAGTCTTCTCCCTCAAAGAGGTCCTTCAGCTACACAAGTACTAGCAATTGTAACTCTTCTTCCTGTTGGTGGGACCCTTTTCTGCCTAGCTGGCATTACTCTTATCGGCAGTTTATTTGGGCTTGCTGTTGCCACCCCTGTTTTTCTCCTCTTTAGCCCAGTTCTTGTACCTGCTATTCTCACTGTTGGCCTTGCTGTTGCTGGTTTCTTGATTTCTGGTGCTTTTGGTGTTACTGGCCTCTCATCTCTCTCTTGGATTCTCAATTACTTTAGGCAAGGTATATAATGGGATCAATTATTTGCATATTTTTACTGGAAAATGATACTGTAGCCGCTCTCAAATTAATAACAAAAAAGAGAGAGAATATTTTGTGTATATATATATATACATACATACATTCTATATTTTATATATTTTTTTGGTTTCCCATTCGGTGTTTGGTACCAGCATTAGAACTCGACTATATCCGGATTCGTGCCACGTATGGCCCCATTCGGTTGGAAAGTGCTTGCGCTCCTACCAAGGATTTTTCCTAGAAAAATCCCTAGATCTCGAATTCGAGACCCCTAGTTGAGGGGCACCACATCTTTTGATGATTTTGTATTTTATATATACAAAAATTATATAAATTTTATACTTTTTCAGCTATCAAACGTAATTTCTAGTACGTACTAAAAGTGAAAAAAATCATATTTTTACCGTGCACTCTTTAAATTCTGTTCTACGTTAGTCCAATTGCCTAAATTATGCCCCCGGATGAGTTTCTTTTGACGAGAATGGGCTAAATTTCGCATTTAAACTAGTTATTAGATGCATTTTCTTACAAATTTGACCGCTCGGCCAAATAATATATACTAGTCAATTTACGTAAATTTCACATAAAAATATATACTTGCCCTCTATTTTTTTTGGAGGGGAAGTTATACAGTATAAAAATCCCATTTTTCTTTTCTTCCCGATAAATTTATTAGTCCAACAGTGAGCTAACGGGAAAAGAATGAAATGAATCATTTGCCTTAATTTAAAAAGTGGTTTAAAAAATCTCGTTCGAGTAATGGGATTATTTGCAGCGTATGGCTTTATTTAATAGTATTAATAGAGAGCACGCATTATATTTATTTAGTTATTTGTATTTGCAACAGGTAAGTCTGTGCCCGAGAATTTGGATGCGGTGAAGAGACGCATGCAAGATGCTGCAGTGCAACTAGGACAGAAGACTAAGGATGTGGGACAAAATATTCAGAACAAAGCACATGAAGGGAAAGAAGGCGCCAGGACTACTTAGCTTGATCTTACTAATTACGACTATATGTTATGTTGAAATAAAAATGTTGATGAACATGCAGTTTTTGGGCATGTTCTCTTGAGCTTTCTACTAGTACTGTCTGTGTCTTATGCTTTAGTTTATACTATTTCAAAGTTGTGCATCAAATTGAATTCTTTAGATTGAAAATGTTCATAGAACAGCGTGCCATAATTCTTATGTGTGTACTGACATTTTCTATGAACTAATCAAAGGAAATATCCAAGACCTCGACTTAAAAATGTTCACAATTTCAATAAACTAATTAAAGGACATATCCAAAACCTCAACTTAAAAATGTGTAGTAAGCTTTATGAAAAGGAAGGCAAAAACGACGCATACGTACGTAAACAAATGCAAATGGTTAACCTATGCATTTTTCTTCTTGACACATGGGATCTGGTTCTGACCATTTAGGAGTAAATAAATTCAGTTTTACATTTAGGGGCCGGTGAATAAATTCTGTTTTAATGAAAATAAGAGGAGTAAAGGATTACCGTAAAATTAGAATATTTAATGTTTTTTGAGACAAGTTGTAAAGGATGAAAATCATTTACATGCGTTTACCCTAAAAATCAAACTAATCCTCCTAACTTTGAACAATTATTATTTTCATCCTTTCATCTTACTCCAACTTTGAACATTTATTATTTTCAACCTTTCATCTTACGCAATATCTATTTGACATTTTCACCTTCTCATATATATATATATATAATTCCTTTTATATATTATTTAAAAATATTTTAATGCGAGCATTTATTCATAAATTAAAAATATTATATTTTGTTATATAATTTAATCTAAGTTCAATAATATTATAAATAAAATAATATTATTTTGAATTTATTACAAAATATATTTCTACTTTTTTAATATATATATATAATGTATGTCGGGGTGTGTGTGTGAGATTTTAAGTTTTACTATTTTTATTATTCTCTATGTGTATATAAATTTTTGAGTTTTAATTGTTATTACTAGATATTTTTCTAAAATTTAATTAAAGTTCATGTAAAGTGTAAATAGATAATTTTATAAATTTATTATAAAATTTACCTCTATTTTACACCCATTATTTTGTTTTTACCTGTAGGTATAGGAACTACTAAAGATATTAAAGAAACAAGAACAACAACTACTAATTCATCAGCTAAGATATTCCCGAAAAGTCAAAAATGTATTGTATAATTTATAAAATTTTCTGTCTTTTATTCTCAATTTTGTAAATAGATTGAATTATGATTGCTATTAATAAAATTACTGATAATAAATTATTTATTGTAGTTTTTTATTTTTCTCATTTATTTCACTATTGAACATCATTAACTTATATGCTTGACTATTAATTCTTAATTTTTTTTATTTCAATTTTTTTAAAATTTATCTATAGGTAAGTCGATAACGTAAATTAAAATAAAAAACTATATATCATTAAAGAATAAAAATAAGAGATAAAAATTGCAGAGGGTAAAATAGGTATTTTAAGAAGTTAATTTTGATATGAGAAGTAGAATCATAGTTGTTTAAAGTTGGACGATGCTTTTGATTTCTAAAATAAACTTGGGGATTTAAATAATTTTCATCCAAGTTTAAAGGGTAAATTATGATTTTTTCCTAAATTAATTGATATAACGTACTACTATTATATACAGCATTTCATAATTACAACTCCACGCTGGGTTATTTGCAAAGAATTTATACCGCTACTGCTTTGCTTACCCGCCAGACTTCCTTCTCAATTTTCGTTCTGCAAAATCTATGCTTGCACTGGACTTTCGCATGTTATACGAAAAATGGACTCTTACACTCAACTACTGGAGAAAATTCGAATCCCTCAACCATCACTACAAAAATTCGCAGTCATCTCGATCTTCGAGAAGCTTCGATCGGCTCCGCCGCACTTGGACTCCGACTCCGGCCCTGGAACAGACGCTATCACTCAGTGCCTTCATTCCACCTCAGCTTCTGTCCTTGATCAATCCGTTCGAGAACTATGCCGCCTCGTCAGAGACTCCAAATTGGACATCTCTCGCGGGTTACTGGAGCTCCAGTCTGCTCTCGAAGGTTCAGATTCACGCTTCGTCAACCTTTTCGTCAAAGGCATAGGGTTTCTCGCTCGGTTAGGGTTCCAGAAGAACTCTTTGCGGTTTCTAGCTTCAGAGACTCATCCATTTGTCAAGGTAATTAGCACGTCAGCACAGTTAAATACAATGTGAACCTTTGCAGTTTTAAATTTTGAGTCTTCCGTCCGCGGTGCTAGGGCTAAGTTCAATTAATCGCAGAGCTTAGAATGGATCACTAATTGTGCTTGAGGATACATTTTACACACAGTAGAGGCACCTGGAGTACTAAACGGGATAGGTGTTACTCATTCCTTCCCAATTAATGTCGTCGTTTTTGACTGGGTAATTTAGAAAGAAAACAGGCTTTCGTGGTCTAAAACAAGTCATAGATACATGTGTGGTTATAAATCATTTCATTAAGGGTAACATGAGTAGTTTAAAGGTAAATATTATTTCTAAATATAGAAATGTATCATTCTTTTTTGGGACAAACTAAAAAAGAAATATCATATCATAAATTGGGACGGAAGTAGTTTGGTAGCGTGGTGCATCAAACTTTGACTGAGCAAGAAACTTATTTGTTAATAGTAACAATCGTGCTTATTCTGGCAGTTTTTGAGCAATTAGTGTCTGATGAGTTTATTGCCTTAAAAATCTCAAATCTGATGCGAATCATTTAACGGCTGGGCAGGTTCTTTCTTGTCGCGTGGAGGTTCAGACGGAGCTAGTGCAACAAGTGATTATTTTTATAGTGCAAAGCAAACATTTGGGAATGGTGGAAGCCTGTGAATTCTTGGTACCTGTCTTGAATTATTCAATTGTTAGGATGCCCTCCTCTGTATCAGTTTCTTCATTTATAAGAAGTTTGATATCGTCATTAGCTGGACTTTGTTGTTCGATTCCTGGGGAGGCCATTCCTATTATTGAGCTCCTCATTGGGCGTTTGAAGTTCTTTCCATGCAATAATTCAGAAGTAAGTGTATTAATTTATTATGCAAAGTGTGTTGATTCCTTTTTATTCTCGGCACAGTATCTGTTCGTCCGATGGATGCTTGCTTTCTGGTAGAAGTTTTGCCATCAGTATTTAAGTGCTTAAGTCCTGTGGTTATTGTGCAGGATTTTACTAATATTTCACACTGCCTTGAATGCATTGTAGATGCATATGTGGTGGTCTTGCAACAATTGGTGGAAATGGGATCGGTATATTAACTGGTCTTTCCTTTTTCTTTACCATTTTTTGAATTTTATTGAATTTTTAATATAAATTTACATTTTATTACATTTTTAAGATTTATATTGCGGTCTAGACTTACTAATTGCAAGTGTGATCATCAATGCTAGCAGCTGCTTCACGAAGCTCAGTTATGTGGTGTGGAGCTACTGGATGCTATGTTGTGTATGAATCCAAAGCACACGAGTTCAGTTGAGAACATTTTAGAAGTATCAAGGCGCATATTGATTGTGCAAAAAGATCTTGGTTTCGGTTATGTGCCTGAATTATCAACCATTACTCTGTCCTTGTTTATGATACTTGTGCAGTCTGAACTTGAACACGAACAGTTCTTGGCGGTGAAACTTATCCTATTTCTGTTGAAGTGGAAATATGAGAATGGTATGGTTACTAGTATAAGTTGATTTTCTGGAAAAGGTTGGATATGTATACATATATATACACATACATACATATATATCCAGGATTTCCTATATATATATATATATATATATATATATATATATATATGCACAATGTTACAATTGCCTTCCTTTATACATATTTGAGTAGTAAGGTGCTATTTCTTATCCTTGTAGCCTAGAAGATATCCCCTAAGTCTGTTCACTATCAATTGAATGTTTAAAGATGTGTAAAATAGTTCAAAAAGCAAAATAGTGAGTTTATGAACACATTCTCTTTTGAGAATATATATAATACCTATCTGTGTTGCTTATTTTTCGCCACTAGCTAAATAAAATTGTTAAACTACTTTTGCAGAGCATGATGTCCAGAGAGATGCATATGATTTGAATGAAGAGCTCTTATTCATCTTCCCTGCTATCAGCCTTCTTTCTTCTCCATCTAAAATAGTAAAACAAGCTGCAACCGATTTGCTTCATATTTTGGGAAAGCTTTCGAATAAGCTACTTATTGCACAAAAGACTGGACAGCCAAATGCAATGAAATTTCCTTCCATTAGTACACCCAAGTACATAGTCTTCAGACTCTTGCAGCACTTGTGGCTTCAGGTTTATTTCATTGTCATGGACCTCAAAATTATATATTCTTTGTTAAAGTGTGTAAATTGTACTATTAGTTATGACACCTATATAAATTGTACTGTTAGTTATGACACCTATACTTGGTAAGTGAAAGGGACATTGACATATGTGTTTCTTGTCAATTTTTACTAGATCATCTTACAAGACTTCCTCTAAGCAACCCCCACAAAAAAAATAAAATAAAATAAAATAAAATAAAATAAAAATAAAAAATAAAAAAAAATCAAACACGTAAAAAGACAAAAGAAGAAGGAAAAAGAATAAAGCTAATTTCACGCTTGAATTGCAAGAGGTAGAACTATATTCCATCAGTTTATTCCAATAACATTCTATGAGTAGCAATGATAGAGTGTTTAATGGATCAATCAAACTTTGCAAGATTCTTGTCCTTATTTTTAAGCGTCGCATAGACTCAGTGATGTCTAGGGGCAAGTGAAGCATTTATTTACATGTTATTTTTCGCTAATGCTGCTCCTATTGGAAGTATGTTAAGTACTTCCCCTCTAACGAGTGTTTTTTTCAGGACCTATCTCCATTATCTGGTTCTTTTTATCCGAATTATGTGCCTGGTCATGACACTTCCATTAAAGACAAGCACTATGTATCAAAAACTTGGAGCTCCTTGGTAACCGACCACATGCATCACATTATTGCAAGAAGAAAGTCCTTATCCATCTCACAGTCTCAGGAGATCTTTCCAACCAGTTAATTTCTAATAAGCTCTTCCTGTTGAAT